TTTTTTTCGGGGGTTTGGGGGTTCTTTGGGGGGTTTTTTTGGGGGGTTTTTTGGGGAGTTCTTTGGGGTTTGGGGGGGTTCCTTCTCCTCCTCCTCCTGTCCTTCCTCACCCCCTCCTCCTCCTCCTCCTCCTCCTCCTGCTGCTGTTTCAGGAGAACCCGAGCGAGGAAGATGCGGCCATCGTGGACAAAGTGCTGTCCATGAGGGTGGTCAAGAAGGAGGTGAACCTTTATTTTATTTTATTTTATTTTATTTTATTTTATTTTATTTTATTTTATTTTATTTTATTTTATTTTATTTTATTTTAATTTTATTTTATTTTTATTTTATTTTATTTTATTTTATTTTATTTTATTTTATTTTGTTTTTTTTATTTTGTTTTTTTTTTATTTTAATTTAATTTAATTTAATTTTATTTTATTTTATTTTATTTCATTTTATTTTATTTTGGTTTTTATTTTATTTTATTTTATTTTGTCTTATTTTTTCTTTTACTTTTTGTGATTTTAGAATTTTATTTTTTATTTTAGCTTACCTTGTTGTATTTTATTTTAGCTTAGTTTTGTTTTCTTTTCTTTTGTTTTGTTTTATTTGATTTTCAATTTATTTTAATTCGTTGTATTTTATTTTATTTTATTTTATTTTTATTTTATTTTTACTTTTTTTTCCTATTTTTTAAATTATTTTATGTTATTTTTATGTTACTTTTTTTTTACGTGGTGTTACTTTTATGTTATGTTATTTTATGTTATTTTATATCTATTTTATTTTATTTTTATGTTATTTTTTTTTAATTTATTTTATTGTACTTTCATGTTATTTTATTTTATATTTATATTTATATTTATATTTATATTTATATTTACATTTACATTTATATTTATATTTATATTTATATTTATATTTATTTTACTGTTGTATTGTGTTATTTTGATTTATTTTATATTTATTGTATTTTGTTTTTACTTTATTTGATATTTATATTTACTTTTTTTTGGTTTTGTATTATGTTATTTTATTTAATTTCATTTTGTTTTATTTTATTTTATTTTGTTTTTATTTTATTTTATTTTATTTCATTTTATTTCATTTTATTTTATTTTATTTTATTTTACTTTATTTTATTATTTTATTTTATTTTATTTCATTTCTTTTTATTTTATTTTATTCTATTTCATTTTATTTTATTTTATTTTATTTTTTTTAAATATTTTATTTTATTTCATTTCATTTCATTTTATTTCATTTTATTTTATATTTTGGGGGGTCTCCTGGCCCTCCAGGCCCCCCTCCTGACCTTCCTCCTCCTCCTCCTCCTCAGTTGCCGTCGGGTCAGCTGGTCGACTGCGAGGAGTTCTTCGTCAAGTACAAGAACTAGTAGGTGCCCCCCAAAAAAACCCCTAAAAACACCCCAAAACACCCCAAAACAACCTGGAAACCCCCCAAAACACCCTGAAAATACCCAAAAACACCCCAAAACACCCCAAAATACCCCAAAAACACCTCAAACCCCCCCAAAACAGCCCAAAACAGCCCAAAATACCCCAAAAACACCCAGAAACACCCCAAAAACACCCCAAAACACCCTGAAAATACCCAAAAACACCCCAAAAC